CCAGGGCAAAATGGGCTTTTCGTGGAAATCATGGAACCGATCGCACTCGGTCTCATTCTGTGAAACGCCGCCGGCGTCAGCCGACAAGTGCGGAACACTCAGATTTATTAGAAACTGGGGACAGTTTTGGGACAGGGGCAGCCTACACAGGAAGGACGGCTCCACCTAAACCAAGGTGGATCCAGACTGCTGGCACTAAACATTCAGAAGATCGTAGAGTAGTTTTAAAATAAGAGATGGGAGAAAGCTTCTTGGTGTGGAGGAGCATGTGGATCGGACAGAGAAGTCTCTTAGAGGAGAGTCCATTGATGGAGATTTTCTAGGTGTTAGTCGGAAAGAGAGGAGGGGAGATGATAAAGTATGAGCCAGATCAGACAAGAAACAATCACATATACAAGAATCTAATACATCGGGGAAGGGCAGACAGATAAACAGTGGCAATTTAAAGTGCTTCAGCACAAATGCTAGAAGTCTAAATAATAAAATGGGTGAACTCGAGTACCTCGTATTAAAGGAGGAGTTTGACACAATAGGCATCACAGAAACCAGGTGGAATCAGGACAATCAGTGTGGGACACAATCATACTGGGTTATAAAATACATCGGAAGCACAGACCAGGTCGTGCGGGTGGCGGAGTGGCACTGTATGTGAAAGATAATGTAGAATCTTAACTAACAAATCATCGGGACCGGATGGCATTCACCCAAGGGTTGTGAAAGTACTCAAATGAGAAATTACGAAACTATTAACTGTCCTTTAAATCAGTTTCTGTACCCAAGGACTGCAATACAGCTAACATAACGCCAAAATTTTAAAACGGCTCTAGAGGCGACCCTGGCAAGTACAGGCCAGTAAGTCTAACGTCAGTACCAGGCAAATTAGTTGAAACAATAGTAAAGAATAAAATTATCAGACACGTAGAAGAACATAATTTGTTGGGCCAAGTCAACATGGTTTCTTTAAAGGGAAATCATGTCTTACTAAGCTATTAGAGATCTTTGAAGGGGTCAACAAATATGTGGACAAGGGGGATGCAGTAGATACAGTATACTTACAGTTTCAGAAAGCCTTTGACAAAGTCCCTCACCAAAGGCTCTTGTGTAAATTAGGTTGTCATGGGATACAAAGGAAGGTCCTTTCATGGATTGGAAACTGGTTAAAAGACAGGAAACAAAGGGCAGAAATAAATGACACTTTTTCATAATGGAGAGAGGTAACTAGTGGTGTCCCCCAAGGGTCAGTCCTAGGACCAGTCCTATTCAACTTACTCCTAAACGATCTAGAGAAAGGGATGAACAGTGAGGTGGCAAAGTTTGCAGACGATACTAAACTGTTCAAGATAGTCAAGACCAAAGCAGACTGTGAAGAACTTCAAAAAGATCTCACCAAACTGAGTATTTGGGCAACAAAATGGCAAATGAAATTTAATGTGGGTAAGACTAAAGTAATGCACATTGGAATAAATAACCCAACTATACATACAATATAATGGGGGCTAATTGAGCTACAACTAATCAGGAAAGCGATCTGGGAGTTATCATGGATAGTTCTCACTGCCCCTATATAAAATGACGGTATGCCCACTACGTACAGAGTCTCCTCACCTCAAAAAAGATATTTAGGCATTAGAAAAGGTTCAGAAAAGAGAAACTAAAATGATGAGGGGTTTGGAACGGGTCCCATATGAGGAGAGGCTAAAGAGACTGGGACTTTTCCATTTAGAAAAGAGGAGACTCAGGGGTGATATGATAGAGGCCTATAAAATCTTGAGTGCTATGGAAAAGGTAAGTGAAGAAAAGTTATTCACTTGTTCCCACAATAAAAGAACTAGAGGACACCAAATGAAATTAATGGGTAGCAGGTTTAATTGTAATAAAGTTTTTCTTCACACAGCGCACAGTCAACCTGTGGAACTCCCTTCTGGAGGAGTCTGTGAAGGCTAGGGCTATAACAGAATTTAAAGAGAAGCTACATACATTCATGGAGGTTAGGTCCATAAAAGGCTATTAGCCAGGGGGAAAGGAGTGGTGCCCTGGCCTCTGTTTGCCAAAGGCTGGAGAAGGATGCCAGGAGACAAATTGCTTGATCCTTGTCTCTACCACCTCTGGGACATTTGGGGCTGGCCACTGTTGGCAGGCAGGCGACTGGGTTCCAGGGGAGTCTGTGAAGGCTAGGGCTATAACAGAGTTTAAAGAGAATCTAGATAAATTCATGGAGGTTGGGTCCATACATGGAGTCCCTAGGAAACCCCCTTTCCTTTGAAGGAATTTAAGTGGGGTGATATTGGCCACCCCACCTGGAGACGTTGCGCTGGAAGCCCGCCCGGTCACACTGAGATTCTTCAGGGAGGGCGCAATGTGGAACCCATTCACACCGTTCCCGTGGTGTTTAGTTCTGTCCCAAAGGGACACTGTCTGATGCTAAATCTTAGACAATGGAGCTAAGCAGGTCGCCTCCACAGCCGTATCCCCTTCTAGCGGAAAGGATAGTCTGAGCCCCAAAGCTGAATATCCATTGTGCTTCCACCTGAGAACACAGGGAAGCCAACGCTGCTAGAGCCTGGATCTGCTCTCCTAGCTTGGTGCCCTCTGTGTCTCCCTGCACCTGCTGCCGGCAGGGGCACAGCGCACACGCCGGCAAAGGAAATGCCGAGCCTCACACGTCTCGTAGAACTAAACGCTAGGTGGAACAAAGGAGAAGGGGAAACTGAGGCACAGGGCTGGTCAGTGTCCGGCCAAAGGTAACACAGCAGGTGGGTGCTTCAGGCAGTGCTGGTGCGGTAGATTCATGCCCATGGTCACAGCTGGAGATGTGAGCCCTGAGGGGTTCCTCGCTTCCACAGCCATTGAGTTGGCATTTCACTTGACTCCCTGCTGAGCAGTTCAGTTCCATGGCTGAGCCAGGGGCCGGCTGTTCGTAGGAACAGGGGATCGTCTCGGCTGGAGCTATTGGGTCGGGATTGCGCTTTGCTCCATCCTTCATAGACAATAGTATCCAGCTCCATCCTGGGCCCGATCCTCAGATGGTGCAAACAGATGCAGCTCCATGGACTGCACGGGATCCAGGCAAATTAACACCCGTGTGATCACTCACCGCCCCTAGGGAGTAGCTGGGACGGGCGCTGCGCATGCTGGACACCCACCGCATGAGAGCTCACTGCAGGAAACCAGGGTCATTCTGTGTCTCACTCTGATCCCCACCAACATCTGTGCCCTTCCCTCTGCAGCCACCACACTGGGAACTGAGGAAGAAAATGTCCAACGGAAGCACCGTGACCGAGTTCCTGCTTCTGGGCTTTTCTGATGTCCGGGAGCTGCAGGTTTTGCACTTTATAGTGTTTCTATTGATGTACCTGACAGCCCTGGTGGGGAACCTTCTCACCATGGTAGCCATCATCCTTGACCGTCATCTTCATACCCCCATGTACTTCTTCCTGGTGAACCTGTCCATCCTGGACCTCGGCTCCGTCTCCGTCAGCGTCCCCAAATCCATGGCCAACTCCCTCCTGGACACCAGGTCGATTTCCTACTCTGCCTGTGTCGCCCAAGTCTTTCTCTACGTAGTCTTCAGTGCAGCTGATCTTGCCTTACTCACTGTCATGGCCTATGACCGATACGTCGCCATTTGCCACCCGCTGCACTACGAGAGAGTGATGAACAGGAGAGCTTGTGTCCACATGGCTACTAGTGCCTGGATCACTGCTACTGTCTACTCTGCCCTACACACCGGGAACACCTTCCGGTTACCCTTCCACCAGTCCAACGTCCTCACCCAGTTCTTCTGTGAAATCCCCCAGCTCCTCAAGCTGGCCTGCTCCAGCTCCTACTGCAGTGAAATTGGGGTTATTGGCTTTGGTTTCTTATTGTGTTTTACGTGCTTTCTCTTCATCATTGTGTCGTACGTCCAGATCTTCAGAGCGGTGCTGAGAATCCCCTCGGAGCAGGGCCGGCACAAAGCCTTCTCCACCTGCCTCCCCCACCTCGCTGTGGTCTCTTTGTTACTTAGCACTGCGTTCTTTGCCTACCTGAAACCCTCCTCCAGCTCTCCGTCAGGCCTGGATCTAGCTGTGGGTGTTCTCTACGCCGTGGTGCCTCCCATGCTGAATCCGGTCATCTACAGCCTGAGGAACCAGGAACTCAAAGCTGCCCTGAAGAAACTCTTTGTGGGGAGGTTATTCTCCAAGAATTGAAACGTCCTTCATTGGTCCTTGACTGTGATTTTCCCCCTGTGTTTCCTTCTGATGAAGGGATCACCAAATAGCATCAATGAGGCCGCAAGGCGCCATCGGTTCATGAAGCAGGAAAATCCAGACTAAGCCCATTGAATAAAATCCTTGTTAGTTAGAGAGGGATCACTCCGGTGTGAGTGAGATCAGAGTCTATGTGTGTTTCCATAAATCCTTCCTCACGTCTGTGGATTGTTTTATCAATTTACACTTGCAGACCCTGCATCCTACCTGAGCCCAACGCACTGAACCTTAACAGCCAATTCTACATCCAAGTGAACGTCAGGAAGTCTCCATCTCTTCCTTTGTTTTGATGGAAAATTGGTACTTGCGGAATTGGAGGTTCGGCTTGTGTTGCCTTAAACATTTCTTCCTTTTTTGGTTTCAGTTTGTTTATTGATTGGTTCACTGGCTGATTTTTTCCAGGTGGTTTTCCAGTGAACATGCGTGATCCAAGAGGTGGTGCATATTGGTCACTGATCTGCTTTTTTGGATGGGATTTTCTGAAGAAGGAGAAGTTTTGCTTCTACCCAATGAGGATGAATTGGAAAAAAGTCCAAAAGGCCGCTACTGGCCACATTCTGGTGACACCCCGGTCAGGAATCCAGGGAGGGGCCTATGACCCTACACCCGCCCTACACTCTCTCTCATATCCAGGTACCTGGATAAGTGGGTCCATCCTGGGAGCCCAGCCGGGCACAGAGGGTAGAGAGGGGCAGGCAGGAAGGGCTGGGTCAGTCACTCATCCCCCATGGGAGAGAGGCATTTGGAAGTGTGGGGGGTTGTGTTTGAACCCTAACGCCTTAAAGATAAGGAAGTAAATGAGAAGAAGCCAACGACACTGTTTTTTCTTTTGAACAGCTGGATGTTGGAATGTTTGTATGATTGGTTGCTCTTGAGCTCACTGGAATCTGAACAATCTGAGCAGGCGTCCCGTACTCAGCCTAGGGAAATATGGTCACCCTACGATGACCTCAAGCGGTTGCGTTAGTACAGCACTTTGCTCCCTCCTCCACTCTGTATTTTATCCAGCCACCTCCTGAGCCCGATCGTCAGATGGGACAGATGGGTGCAGCTCGTCAGATTGTCGAGGAGCCAGGCCAGTAGACACCCCCGTGGCAACTCACCACTCCTGGTGACTGCCAGTGAGGAGTGCCGTGTGCCTCTGGGACTCACATGCATTCTCCACCCTCATCCCTACCCCATCTCTGCCCTTCTCTCCGCAGCCATTATAGCATGTGCCGAAAAAAAAATGTCCAACCGAAGCACCGTGACCAAGTTCCTGATCCAGGGATTCTCTGACATCCGGGAGCTGCAGGATTTGCACGTTGTGGTATTTCTATTGATTTACCTGGCAGCATTGATGGGGAACCTTCTCATCATCTCAGCCATCGTCCTCGACCATCATCTTCACACCCCCATGTACTTCTTCCTGGTCAACCTGTCCATCCTAGATCTCAGCTCCACCACCGTCACCGTCCCCAAATCCATGGCCAACTCCCTCCTGGACACTAACTCCATTTCCTATCCTGCCTGTGTCACCCAAGTCATTCTCTTTTTAGTCTTCACTTCAACTGATCTTGCCTTACTCACCACCATGGCCTACAACTGATACATCACCATCTGCCAGCCCCTGCACTACGAGAGAGTGATGAACAGGAGAGCTTGTGTCCACATGGCCACTGGTACATGGATCACTGGTATTGTCTACTCTGCCCTGCGTGCTGGGAATATCTTCTGGTTACCCTTTTACCACTCCAAAGACATCAACCAGTTCTCCTGTGAAATCCCTCAGCTCCTTGAGCTGGCCTGGTCCTACTCCCATCTCAGTGAAGTTGAGCTTATTGCCTTCGGTGTACTTTTAGGTTCAAATTGCTTTATTTTCATCCTTGTGTCTTATGTTCAGATTTTCAGAGTGGTGCTGAGAATCCCCTGTTCTCTATGCAGTGTGGCCTCCCACGCTGAACCCTGTCATCTACAGCCTGAGGAACCAGGAGATCAAAGCTGCCCTGAATAAGCTGATGGGGTGGAGGTTAATCTCCAAGAAATGAAATGCCCCTCAGTGCTTGTGATTGCAGCCTCAGCTTCTTTATTCAATGTCGACTAGCGCCGGTGATCTTAAATGGGTTAATTTAGAATTAGACCCATGTAAATGAGAGTAGAATGTGCTCCTCACACACCTCGGTTTAGATACACACCCTCTCTCGCAGGAATTTAATATCACACTTCCACAACATGAATCAGCAGGGTGCCCTTGTAGTCATGAAGCCCAATGGCATGTTAGGGTGCAT